CTTAAAGCATCATCAGTCCAATTTGGATGCACTATAATTCACTTAAGCAATCCTCCAATGATGAACTTCACTTGTGACAGTATTTTCTCAAAATCAGTAGGACAACAAATAACCTTGGATATCTATCTTTCACATGTATGGGACACCACTTTATGAAAAATTCCTTAAAACCTCAGAATCCTTAACACAGCATTCCAGGCCTCGCCGCTACAAATCAATCAGCATTGTCCTGAGATGAAGCCTGTATGTCATTATTGGCATAGCAAGTAATCCATACGATTTAATGTCCATTTCCTTCTCAAAAACAAACAAACAAAAAAAAGATTTCAGGAGATACCTGTCGGATTGGTGTTTTGGATTGCTGAGTCAACGGTACATGCTGCATTTCCAATGCTCATATTGGCAGATTGCCCCGTGAGTAGGATATTGGCAAACTACTGCCTGCAGACTGAATTCAGCCCAGCACGTGCTTTGGTAAAAAGGGCTGAACTGGAACACGGCAGGCCATTATGTGCTGTATTATCTATGGCTGCTTTCACGCTACAATGGCAGCACTGAGTAATTGCCAAGAGACCATATATACTATATAAAAAATTCTTAAATATTGTTACTCTCTTCCTCAAAAGTCTCTAAGGACCATTTCATAGACTACAACAATGCCTATCATGGCCTTGTGACCCTACAGGAAAAAAAAAAGGTTGGCTCTCCCTCTAACTCACCTCTCTGATCTCACTGTTAACTTTTTTCACTTCACTGACTTCCTCTATGTGTTGGCCCCCTTGCTGTCCCCGGCTTGCCAATCCCATCCCCATAACATTTGCTCTAGCCATTCATTCTGCAGTGCTCCACCAATGCTATTCCCTCATCCAGTTTTGCATTCTTTGTTCTCTAAGATGCCTGCCCTGACCGCCAGTCTTCACAGCTGACCCTTTCCCACACACAGTGCTCTCGTGCTCTTGACACTGATCAGCTTCTCCCTGTTCCTCCAGCACTTTCTCAGCCTGAAAGAACTGTAGCAGTCGTTTATTATTTGATTGTCTTTTTTCTCCATTCTAGAAGTACACTGCTCCAGGACAGGAATCATTTGTTTTGCTCAGCTAGTACAATTCTGGATTGAAGGTATCTGCTTAGTTTTATATGTCAGTGTTGCTGGGCCTTGGTGCCCATACATGTTGTCAAATAGTATTCTAGATGTTTCTCTGAGACTGTATTTGGATGAGGTTAACATTTAAAACGGTGGACTTTAAGCAGACTGCCATCCAAAGTGTGGGGGAGCCTCACCCAATCTGAATAGAATAGAAGACTGACCTACAACGAACAAGAGGGAGTTCAGCCAAAGGATGACTTTCGGATTTCAGCTGCAGCCCAGAGTCTTCTCTGGTTAACAATATACGTCCTATTGCTTGTTTCTCTGGAGAATCCTGACAAATGGAGTATCTCAGAATTCAGCAAGATAAATGAACAAACAAAACTCAAACTTTCACAGGAATAAAAATATTTAAACACTATAAAAAAATCAGTATCCAAAGTATCAAGAATCAGACTGGTATCACACTTCTCAAAATCAACGATAATGAATTACATGGAAACACTGTCATCACAACACTCCAAAATGAAGAGAAACAAGCAGGAAGATACAGGATTAAACCAACAAGGAATCCAAGATTGGAGGACAAGTCCCAGCATGGTGGGGTGGGATGATAACTATATACATATAGCTTGTCCAGATTGCAACATGAGATTCAGAACCATGTTCACAAGGGAAAAAAACCTTAAGATTACCTATGATCTGCATAAATGTGTATAGGGAAAGGGTTTTTAATAGGCAAAAATCCTCATTATTCATAAGTATCAGTCAATTGTGTCAACTGGTAACAGACACATACAATAAAGAAAGAACAGAACATGATATTAAGGTATATAAGATATATGGAGGTAAACAGAAAAATCCACTAAAAAGAAAGGTAGGTATATGGTAAGGAGGACTGTTGACAAAATTTATATCATAGTAAAGAAATAACTGTAACTAAAAAACGATTTACGGGCAATTTCAACAGCAAATCATTTATTGGATGTGTCAAGTAATATAATTCTCAACTACTTCATCTTAGAAATCCACAGAACTTGAAAACTGATACCTATAATACCTATGAAATTGGCATTACTACCATGTTTTTATTGTTACTGAAAACGCAGACTACAAATCTATTCTGGTTTTCAGCAGCAATCCTTAAAAACAGTCCCAGGATTACTGAAGCTAAATTCCCTAAGTTGCCGCTAAACACTGACGCTGTACTGTTTCCCAGGTACTTCAACTTTCATCATCTGTTACTGAAGATATTTTAAGAGGTTCCGAATCGATTCCAGTATAGAAGTAGGGGCAAATGGCTTCTGTAAATGAATCACTGAAACTATAGAGAAGAGATCTGTCACTCAGATTGTAAAAGGAAACCTCACCCAAGTCATAGTCCAGAAAAATGCCAATCTTACTGGGTCCTACCATGGGCAGGAGACGGTTTCTCTTAGGACCCGACACAACATAAATACTCTCAGCACACCGCCCAATTGCCCAGAATCCCCCCTCAACCACCGGCTGACTCCGCCAGCTCCTAGGAAACCAGTCTTGACACACCCCCAATGTCCATTTAGGCTTGTTTCCCACTTCTACCTCCCAGTAATGCCTACCAGAATGGAATCTGTTACAACCCAGGACAGCAGGGCAGAGATAAAATCTCCTTGGGTTATAACAAGGGCTTTGTTTTCTCTTCTCATATCGCACAATTTTTCTATCCTCAGAGACAATAAGCTGCGGATGTGCTGTTTCAAGGTCTAGAATCACATCTACTTGAAATGGCTTGATAATTCTGTCAAAGCCAGAATACTGTGGAGGAAGGCTAAACCCATATTTCTTTAGTTGGAATGAAAAGTGTTCAGGAGGGGTTAGGTTTTGATACCTGTGGTGGATACTCTTAGCCTGCCTCAGTACTTCCAGGTCTGACTGCACACACTTACCCTCTACCTCCCTCAGCAGATGTTTCAATGAGGAAACATGATCTGTAAATGTTACAAAGTTTTCATTTAGTTTTGCTAAAATCTCCATCTCTTCATCTTCCATCTGCCGAAGAATATCCTCTTGCTGATTTTGTAGAAATAGTCTAAGTTGCTCAAATTCAGAATGTATTTCTTCTCTCCTGTATTTCACCTGCTTTCTCAGTTCAACTGATTTGCTGGCTTGCAGAGTTAGCACTTTTTCAACTTGTTCCATATTATCCTTCAAGGGCTTAATGGTACATTCCAGAATTTTCCTGTGATGAGAGGCAGCTTTCTTAATGGGGCAAATGTAGTGTTTCTGGTGCTGAATGGAGAAACTGCACCGTGTACATAAAACCTCTAGGTCCTTCCCACAAAAAAGAGTCAGAAGCTGGTTGTGCTTCTCACACATGGAACTCTCTTCCTGCCTCTTCCTCTTGCTCCTTCTGATCTGCAGCAGCTTAGCAATTTCAGTCAAATGGCTGAGCTGGGAGTTGCTCCTGATGTTCCTGCCTCGAAAGCAAAGACGGCAGACAGGACAGTGGGCGGGAGCACCCAGGCCCTTCCAAGTCCTGCTGATGCATGAGCGACAGAAGTTGTGCCCACAGTTGATCGTTACTGGGTCTTTCAAGTAGTCCAGGCAGATGGGGCAGCTAGACTCCTCCTGGAGCTGTACTAGCGCTGTCACAAACTCCATGGAGTCTTATCACAACAATGCTCCCTTTGGCAAGGCTGGCCTCAAGCTCAAGCCCAGAGGAGGAGGAGCTATCCTCGCTCAGAGATCGCAGATTGACCAGCTCTGGGTGTCACTGGACCAGCCTGCCGAGCAGCCACTGAAGTCCTGTCTAGCCCCCTGCACCTCAGCTTGAAGGGCAAGTAGGTTCACTGCTTGTAGCTCTATCACAAATTAGCCGATCTACATTTAACATGAAAGACTTGCTTCTTGAAGAAAGTAGCCACAGGTTCAAGCAAGCAGTCATTTCTACAGAAGAAAAAAGTTTTTAATTTCTAAATTTCCCAGGCTTGCAATTGCAATATCCTAATTCAGATAAAAATAAACGACTGCCGAAACCCTAAGGTAAAATTTCCTGGGTTATAATATATTCATACATCTCAAAATATCTCTCCAGAAATTACAGTTCTTTTACAGAGAGACGAAGCAAGTGCCTTTACAATATAGAGATCTAGAGAATAACTCCTCATCAATGAAGGGACAAATTGATGGCCTGCAATGGGAAGAAAATCGATTATGGAACATTTCTGCCAGCCCACCACTCCCAAAAAATCTAATCACAGGGGAGTAATCACCAAAATCCAAACCACTGCAACATTCAATAAGACAAGTCTTAAAAGTCTGCATAAACAACAATGGACTGAAAAACATAGGGGAAATGTTCTACATTAAACAGACTAAACAACTAGGAGAAATTTATGATCTTAAGCTTTGATTCGAGATAGGCAGAAAAACTGCCATCAAGTCAATAGTATGGTACAATGGGAAAATTTTGGATATGTACTATTTATTAGATAACAATATTATCAAAGTTAAGCTTCCTGAATTCAATCATTACACTTTAGCTACATTAAGAAATTATCCTACTCTTAGGAAATACCTCCTGAAACACTTATGGATGAGGGGTCATGATCTCTGAATGTTACTCTGAAATATTACTTTAAAAAAAGTGGATGGGGGGGTGGGGAGGTATAGCTCAAGTGGTAGAGTGCATGCTTAGCAAGTACAAGGTCCTGGGTTCAATCCCCAGCACTCCTTCTGAAAAAATAAATAACTAAACCTAGTTACCATCCTCCCCCAAAATAAAGAATTTTAAAATTTTTACAAAGGGGGAAGGGTATAGCACACACAATAGAGTGTGCTTAGCATGCACTAAGTCCTGGGTTCAATCCCCACCTCCACTAAAAAATAAAATAAAAAATTAATTAAAAAATACATAAAGAAACCTAATTACTCCCACCTCCAAACTTTTTTTTTTTAAGTGGGTGGCATGCTTTTGGTCTGAAGTGGGAGTGACATGGGTGTGACTACAGGAGGGTAGTATGAAAGACTTCAAAGAGATAGAAAGTTCTGTAACTTGACTTTGCTGGCAGCTATATGCATCTGTATGTGATAAGTGTCACAGAACGATACATATTCATTTGACCAATATCAAATTTCTGGTTTTGATATTTTATTGTTAAGAAACATGAGAACATGCACAGTGGGTATCAGGGTGTACTATCTCTGTACTATCTTGAGAAGTTCCTGTGAATCTGTAATTATTTCAAAATATTAAGGCTTTAGGAAAATCACCTGCAGGCTCATCCAAATGTTTAACTCAGAGGGAAGTGGTGCAGTTCATTCTATACAGTTCCCTGGGACACATGATCCATTACTATGTCCCTTGCTTTTTCTACTCATTGATTGTATCTTTTGGGGGCAGTCTGCTACCTTGTGAGATACATGGACACAGTATAGAGGCCCCACCCAGACCAAGCTGCCATCAGCTCTCGTACCACCGTCTACCTGGTCAGCCTGCTTCCACTCTCACTCCCTTGCATCCATTCACCACTCAGCAATCACATTTTTCCACTGAATAGACAACTTAGAATCTCTCTCTCCAGTGCTTACATTCCTCCAGTATCTGAATCCTCATCTTCTCAACACAGTATACAAAGCCCTATTAAATACTGAGCCCTACTAGCCACTTTGAGATGGAGTCCTATGATTCTTCCTACCTCGGTACACTGCAGCGACAATTATCTTGTTGTGGTTGAATATGCTGTAGATGAAAAGTCAATTCATGATCAAGTTAAGAAGAGGGGGAATTTTATTCAAGCCAAACTGAGGATTATAACCCAGGAGACAGACTCTCAGAAAGCTCTGCGAACTGTTCCACCTGTTAGAAGTTGAAGGCCCAGTTATATACATTTTCAAGACTAAGGATCATACAGCAAAATGATATACTGACATTTTACATAAAGTTCACCAAGGATGCATAGTTCAAGTAAGCATGTACAAAGGAAGTAGCAAGTCATTATGACCTCCTACAGAGTTGGGAAAGAATGCTATTCTTTTAAGTTATATTGCTAGGGTCAGAAAAAAGGTAAAAATTTGGTCTTTAAGTCGGAGCAGGCACTCCCATCTTTGCAGAGCCCTGGTTAATGTGTAATGCTGCACATACTGCACTATGAGGAAGGAGAGAGGTGGCCTAAACAGAGAGAGAGAATTTTATGCTTAAATTTTCTTGTCCTGCCTTAAAATATAAATTTTATTTCATCAATGCTGAGGTCATTGCTACGGAGTGGAGCATTCTCTTCAGGAACCTTTGTACACCTCTGTCTTTCTCTTCAGGTCTTCTCTCTCAAATGCTATCTCCTCAGGGAAACAGTTTCTACTCACCCAATCTGACTGCCTTCTCCCTACACTCTCTTGCTATTTCTATTTTCTTCCATAGAATGCAATCATAATCTGAAATTGTCTACTTCATGTATTTGCTTGTTAGTTACTCTCTCTTTTGGCCATGAATATTGAATAAGTACATTCTTAGTCTACCTTTTTCATCGGCATGTAGAAAATACTCAAGGACTTTTTATTAAAAACTGAGTAACAGTAATGCATACATAAATGAATAAACCCTAAAAAACACAAATATTAAAAAAGTCAATGTTATATAAAATAAAAAAGTGGCAAGACTGTTCAAGATTACGAGAGTTTAAAGAGACAACCAAATGTAATGTGTGATATCTGACTATAACTGGGAACAGAGAGAAAGTTATAAAGATCACTGTGAACATAACTGAGAATACTTAAACATGAACCTGTATTAGATAATTAAGGTATATCAATATAAACTGGGTACAATAAAGTTTTATAATGAAAAAGGAAACTATCCATATTCTCCAGAAATATTAGTTTAAGTATTTAAGGGAAAACTGACATATCTGTAATATAAACTGTTCAAAAGAGTCTATTTTACACTCATACACACACTAGCACTCACATGTAGAAAGAATACTGGTCATCCCAAATCTTAAATAACTGGACACTCTAAGCAAGGGAATAAGAGGGTTTACTACATTATTCTTTTAACATCGCTGTAGGTTTGAAAAATTTCCAAAAAGTTAAAAGAAAAAAGAGGACACTAATGAACTCATCTATAAAAGAAACAGATTTGCAGACATAGTAAATAGTCTTGTGGTTACCAGGGAAAGGGGGTGGGAAGGGATAAATCTGGGAGTTTGAGATTTGCAGATGTTAAGCACTATATGTATAAACAGATAAAAAATTTCTTCTGTATAGCACAGGGAACTATATTCAATATTTTGTAATAACCTTTAATGAAAAAGAACATGAAAACAAATATATATGCATGATTGGGAGGTTATACTGTATACCAGTTACAATTAACACATTGTAACTGACTATATTTCAAGTAAAAAAAGTTAAGATTATAACTCAATAAAAAACGTTAAAAAAAAAGTTAAGAGAAACTTCTAGTTGATTTATCTATTCTATTACGCCCAATTTCTGGGCAGAGTTATTCTCTCAAATAGTGGGCTACTCAGTACACTATTCTTTTCCTTCTCCCTCACGCTACCAGGCACCATTCTTTTAAATTTTCCTGCTGCTCACATTTCACATAAAATGAGGCTTGAACATAGTAAAATTGTCTTGATTTCACATTTGATGTTGGATTTGTCTTTATGATCAAGAGGAAATCACCTCATTCTGACTCCCAATTCTAAACTACATCTTATTTTAAAATTAGTAAAATGTGAAAAAAAAAGTGCATCTTAGAATTGATTATATATACTTGTCGTGCATTTAACATCCTCTCCTCACTCATTTTAACCAACTCACTTTAAGAGAACATCAGGTTTAAGAGTCCTGAAGGAACTTAGACAAGCCAGTTGGACTGAGTGTGGCCTGCCTTCCTGAATATACATGCAGGTAGCCCAGGTAACCCTATTCTACAGGTAAATCACACCATCAACACCCTCCCCACCTCACCCCGACCCAGCCAATACATACCTTAAGTCTGAATTACTTGCCAGTTATTTTGGCTACTATTATCCACGCACGTTTGTTTGGAAAGCAGGGCTTGTGTCAGGTGTGTGAATGGTAGAAATGGGCTGGTAGAGGTGGGTTTTCAAACAGACTGACCCACAACTCCTATCTCCTTTTCCTCTGATCTAGCAGGGCTCACTATTTCTTAGACCCTCAATCTCCCATCTGTGCAAAAATTATTCCCTTTCCTCACTTTTTCCCTGAGTTGAGTTGAGGTTTTTTGGAAGGAATTCAAATCACCTTCTCTGGTAAGGCTGGCTGTGTGTCAGGCACTGTGGTAAGTGTGTGGAAATACAGTCACTGATTCTCAATTAAACAGAACTACTCTGTGAAATTAGTGGTAGGAGAGGCAATTCAACATAGGCCCTGAGCATCCCTGCATTCATCCTCTACATATGCCAGGAATGCAGGGCCCTGATTTCCCTTCACCCAGGCCATTTCTCAGGGTTGTGTGAAGAAAGCACCCTTGAAACAGGAGGTAAAGTCTCCCTGTGGAACCAAAAACAGGTTTTCTCTAAAAGTGGATCCCCCAAACTCAGGGTTACTTGGCTGTGTTATAAACCCACGGTGTACACAGCATCCACGTGGCCCCTCCATCACCTCTGTGGGACTTGGGAGGTATGGGGACCTGATGCAAACATGATGCTTATGTTGCTGGCTCTGCTGGTACTAAGAGTCCTCTGTGTCTGACCCAAGAGTTTGTGTCACCTGGTACCAACTATGAAACATTAACAGGCTAACTTATTAGCTTCCCAGTAGAGTAAAACCACAAAATTTGACAGTTGGGAGACAAGTCCTCATTGCAGCTGTGGAATTTATGAGAATCTGAATAGGCTTATCCAAA